CTTATAGAATCAATCACTCATGGGTCCTGACCCTGAGTTAACTACAAATTATGTGATTATTCAAACTCCTGTGGGCCAAAAACCAGGTTGCTTTGTCAAAGGACAAATGAGGGAGAGTGGATAGGATTTTCATGTCTGAAATTACTTTTGTATATATCCATGGAAGAAATGAGGTTTTAAACATTCAGATTTACCTTTTATATATTATTACCTTTGTATATATCCATGGGAGAAATGAGGTTTTAAACATTCAGATTTAAGTCGAAGTGAAATTAACCCATCTAAGAACTATACAAATCAAGAAGAAAAGTGTAGAAGTTATCTAATATCTTTCTGTTATTATTCTACTGAACTAGGTGGCAAATGTCTTGAATCTAAGACTCAGATCTTAAATTCACTGAAAGTCTGACCTTGGAAAAAACATTTATCTTTTTTGAGTTAATAATACCTATTCCTTCAGTTATTTTAAAGATTAAGATAATGCATGTGAACCCCTTTGTTTAATTATAATGTACCTCATATATGATAGAAAATATTGGTAAAATTTCTAAAAAATGAATAATTCTATGCAATATATATTTTTAAGCAACAGAATTAAAGCAATGAAAGAATGGGTAACAAAGCTACTAGTAAGTTACTGTTTTGGAGAGAAATTTTATGTAGGTACATTTTGAATGGCAAGTGTTATGAACATTTTTTAAAATTGGGGCTTTATAAAAGTTTATTAGTTATTAAACTACAATGAACAATCTGGAGAGTTAACTAAAATATGGACCAAGTAAACATTAAAAGATTTCTTGATGGATTAAAAAACAACAACTAAAGAAAGAAACCCTACATTAGATTCAGACATGGTATAGCTATAAAAACTAGTACTTTACAGTTAAGCTCCCAAGGTAAGGTGCTTTTCTCCTCACATATAAGATGATTGATTAGCATCAAAGAATTGTACCAAAGCCAATTTAGAATTAAGATGGGAGGAAGGAGATTTGGAACCCTTCACAGCATTGCAATGACTGATTTCCATTAGAAAAGGCACATCAATGTCACTGCTAGCTAAGATTCCTTTAAGTGACAGCACAATGGTTTGGGTATTCACATTCATTAATCCATTTATTCATTCATTCATTCAACACATATTCTTTGGGATACCTCTGTGTGCTAGGCACCATTCTAGATGCCCAGGAGACAAACTTAAGCAAAGTAGCCCATGTGGAGCTAGCATGATAGATGGTGACTAGTGCTGTGGAGAAAAGAAAAGTGAAAACAGAACTGTGGGAGAGTACAATTTAAACTAGCGTACTTAGGATAAAAGTAGCACTGTGAAGTTAATCATTTGGCTACACATTGGAAAGGAGGTTTATCTGTGAAAGAACATTCCAGGCAAAAGAAATGGCCAGCTCAAGGACCTCAGGCTGTAGCATGCCTGCTGTTATTGAGGGACTGCAAGACCAATATGGCTAGACCAGAGGAAATAAGTAGCAAGAAGTGTGGCAGAGAGCTGCCTGGAGCCAAACCCATAGGGTCTTATATGGGCATTGTATGGACTCCAGCTGTTTACACTGAGGGGGATGGAAACAGGGAGATCAATTAGGAGGTAATAATAATCTAGGCAAAAGCAGTAGTGATGGAGAGAAATGTGCAGATCAACAAATGCTTTGTAATATATCCAAAGGTATTTATTATATATTGTGGTACTATGAAAGTTCTCTTATGTTTCTAAAATTGTCTCTGAAATACAAAGTTATCAACTGAGAGTAAGGATGTTGGAAGAGACATTGGAAATTCAAGAAGAGAGAAGGGGTAAAATAAATAAGGATTGGGCAAACTTTTTGTAAAGTACCTGCTAATATTTTTTAGGGTTTCCTGGCTAAAGAGCTTTGGCACAGCCACTCACTTCTGCCATTGTACTGTGAAAGCAACCAGAGATAATATAAAAACAAATGGACACAGCAGTGTTTTAATAAAACTTTATTTACAAAACCAGGATGTCAATTAGAGCTGGACTGTGTGGCTAGGCTAGGGAAGTTAGTATAGTTTGCAAATCCCTGATTTAGGCAACTGGCCAGAAGAATAGAATAGGTTATATATATATATGATCACCAGTAAACATTGAGGTGAAAAGTGATAAATTTACCATGTGAGCTGTTGGTTCATATATGTTTTTCTTTAACCATGTTTATCTGGAAGGGTACTGACACAGAGTGAATGGAAAGCTCAACTTAAGCAAATACTAAGAGGTAGTAGGGGAGAGGCATGAGAATTGGGGAGATGTGGAAGAGGATGATTGTATAGAATGACCACAGAATAATTTAAGCTGAGTGAAGACTGACTGAGTTCACGAGAAAAGTGGAAGAATAATAAGGTGGTCGGAGCAGTGGATTGCAGGCTCCAGTGGGGATTGAGGCTTGTTGGTGCTCAAAGAAATAATCTGGAAAGTCAAGAAGTGGTGGTTGAAGAGGGAGAAACATGCAGTCAATATAATGCAAGGGCCACAGTTACTGATAATGACAAGTGTAGAAGGTGTGAACTAGGGAGCGAGTGTCTGTGGTGGAATGTAAGATAATAAAAGGCTTCCTAGATATCCTGTTAAAAGGCTCATGCTATTTTTTGTCCCTTACTTAAAATGAATGATGATGAAAATACTTCTTCCTAAAAAAGACTTTAAGATGGTCTCTTATTTTTTATGTTTGGACTAAATAAAAAAATCCTATCTTTTTTTTTTTTCATCAGAATACCAAAAATATTCTGGATATATATGCATTGGAAAAGAATATTGAGGAATTGTCTAAAACTGGGATGGAGCACCAAGTAAGCATTCCCCAAATACTGGTAAAACATTTTCTTCCCTCAAGCTAGCATTACTCTATAAAGGTGTATGTGACTCATTGCTACAATGAACTTTAAAATGTGTACTCCTCACAATGTCTGAATTATATAAAGGGCTATCTCTATTTTTTAATGTAACAGCTTTATGGATAAATAATATACACACCATTAAATCCACCCACTTAAAATGTACAAGTCAGTGTTTTTTTAGTATGCTCAGAGTTGTGCAACCATCATCAAAACCAGTTTTATTTTTTTTATCAAATTTATTGCGGTAACATTGGTTAATAAAATTATACATGTTGCAAGTATACAAGTCTATACCACATCTGCATACTGCAGCATGCACTCAACACCTAAAGTTAAGTCTCTTTCGCCACCATATATTCCCCTTTGCTCACTCCTCCTCCCTCTGGTAATAACCACACTGTTATCTATATATATATATTTTTTTATGCTTAATTCCTTTACCTTTTTCACCAATCCCCAAAACACCCACCCCTCGGAGAGCTGTAGTCTGTTCTTTGTCTATATGGGTCTGTTTCTATTTTGTTCTTATTTTGTTTATTGGATTCCACATAGAACTGAGATCGTATGGTATTTGTTTTTCTCTAACTGGCTTATTTTACTTAGCACAATACTGTCCAGATCTATTCATGTGGCCACAAAAGGTAAGATATCCTTCTTGTTTATGGTTGAGTAGTATTCCATTGTGCAAATGTACCATGGGCTTTTTGTCCCCTTATCTACTGATGGACCTGTGGGTTGTGTCCAAACCTTGGCTATTATAGAAGTCCAATGCGCTATCCATTGCGCCACGGAGCCACCTAAATCTTGGCTATTATAAATAATACTGCCATGAACATAGGGGTGCGTATATTCTTTCAAAATAGTGTTTCATATTTCTTTGGATATATTCCCACAAACAGAATCACTGGGTCACTAGACAGTTCCATTTTTAATTTTTTGCGGAAACTCTATACTATTTTTCTCAAGGACTGCACTAATTTGCATTCCTATCAATAGTGGTTCCCTTTTCTCCACATCCTTGCCAGCATATTGTTTGTTGATTTATTGATAATAGCCATTCTGACAGGTGTGGGGTGACATCTCATTGTGGTTTAAATTTGCATCTCTCTGATGATTACTGATGCTGAGCACTTTTTCATATCTCTATTAGCACATCTGCATGTACACATTGGAGAAGTGTCTATTCAGGTCCTTTGTCCATTTTTTAATTGGACCATTTGAGGTTTTTGGTGGAGTTTTATAAGTTCTTTATAAATTTTGTAGAGTAATACCTTATTAGTTGTATCATTGGCGAATATGTTCTCCCATTTGGTGAGTTGTCTTTTCATTTTGTTGGTTTCCTTTGCTGTGCAGAAGGTTTTTTTTTTTTTTTTTTTTTTTTAATGTAGTCACATTTGTTTCTTTTTTCTCTTGTGCCAAGAAATATATCAGAAAAAAAAATTCTAAGAGAAATGTCTGAGGTTTTACTGACTATGTCTCTCAAATGTATTATGATGGCTTTATGATATAGGTGTCTTGGACTCAGTGACAGTCTTCTTATCACCTGAGCTAGGTGCTCTCGGAATATCTCTTGTGTGGGTTATGTGTACCCTCCTGCGTAGTTGAGTTTTGAATGCTGTTGCCCATTTGTGGGAAGAGTTAACCCTCAGGCTGGCTGACTATGAAAATAGATCTTAATCACCATGTATGAGTCGCTGTGCAGGGCTGACCTCCCAAAACAGAATTGTTCCCAACAGGGTCTGATGCCTGATTGTTTTGAGGCTTATGTGAAAGTTCTTTAAAAAGTGAAAACCAGCCGAAACCGGTTTGGCTCAATGGCTAGAGTGTCAGTCTGTGGACTAAAAGGTCCCAGGTGTGATTCCGGTCAAGGGTATGTACATTGGTTGCAGGCACACCCCCAGTAGGTGGTGTGCAGTAGGCAGCTGGTCGATGTTTCTCTGGCATCGATGTTTCTAGCTCTCTATCCCTCTCCCTTCCTCTCTGTAAAAAATCAATAAAATATATATATATTTTAAAAAGTGAAAACAATATGCACATTAAAAGTGTTTCAGAAACATGTCTCCCTATTGAAATGATTCTGTGGCACTGTCCTTTACCAAAGCAAAATCCCAGAGGCCTTTACTAACTTTGTTTCTTTTCAGATGGAGTTACGCATGTATGAGAACACTTTGCTTAATAAAGATGCAAGTTTGCAGAAGGTTGGTCTGTCCCTCCCCATGAAGTCCTATGGGATTGGCTAGCTCTCTTCAAATCAGAAAGGAAGTGATCATTTGTGTACCTTCACTCCTATTAAAATATCTGATTCTAATATTCTTTCCAGAATGTTAGATTTTCTTTATAAACTTCTCAAAAGATATCCTGTTGAATAAAGAATACTGACTTATCTATCTAGTATGTATAAGTTTCATCATATCCTCTCTAAATTCTGGTGGTATTTATTAATATACACAACTAATATGAGTGTGCCAATTTATTAGTCAATGGCTAGATACAACGATGCAATAATTCATAACAACACAAATGTGTGTGCAGGCATTCATTTTGGGGAAGAAAAACATATCCCTAAGTTATTTTCTTCCTGGTTTGATCAGATAGATATTCTCTTTATCCTTGTATCCTGTGATCTATAATCTACCTGGTAACAAGGAGTAGAGATTCTGGTTATAGTGACATAAGAAGGACATACCCCTAAGTTAATAACCTTCCACATTTCAAGATAAGGAGGCAAAGAGCAATATTTATCTTCCTTTCCATTCATGTTTTGACATTTCAAAACAGTTATTGATGGCTTGTAGACATTGACCCAGATACTGACACACAGTGACATTGCGGTGGTAGTGGTGGCTCACTTCCTTCATACCTCTGATCTTTCCACTACTGTGCACTCCTCCCCAGCATTCATAGGCATTTTGGGCAATTTGCACATCCCAGGCACCATGCTGATCATGGGATACAATTGTAGGTTAGACACTGCCTGTACTCTCTGGTCTTCCAGTACAATACTGTGATTTTAACGGAGATACCATGTTAGTTGGGTAAAATTGGATGCCTTAATAATTCATTAGTCATTTTCAGTTAAAGACTAATTTTTTTCTTAAGTGTATAATGATAATAAATATAATTTTGACTTGAACTTAAGATTTATTTTTCAGGGTTTTGTTCCATTGGACTAGGCAGACACAGAACATATTGTCACCAGTTAGATACAGCTGTCTGGCTACCCCATACTTTTTGTGTGGCTTTAATCACAAACGCAGATTGGTTCAGTTTTTAAATAATACGATTGACAGAAGAGTTCATTTCATTGGGCATTATAATTTTTGTGTGGCTCAGATTGATAATTATTCTATTAAACATGATTTGGTGGACTCATGCATTTATTAGCTATTAATTTTCTCTTCTACTTTTCAGAAGGATTTAAGTATAGAAGAACTTAAGTCAACCATTGTAGAATATGGAAGCATTATAGAGGTATACCATAATAATCTCAGAGCTTGCAAGGTGGGTTGTTAAATGTAATTTCCCCACTGGAATGGCAGGTACAGCCTAATGTTGTATGTGATTCCAGAATTTACGAGGGGAAAAAAACAAACTGGTTCATGAGTTACAGCACTTGCAACAGGAACTCATCATGTAAGTAGTACACAGTAACCCCTCATGCCTCCTCTCCCGTGCCCCTATCCCTCATCATTGGGCTACTGAGCTTCCACATTCTTTTCTTCTGTGCTTTTGTAAGTGGTATTTTCTCTGCTTTTTTCCAACAGAACTTCTTCACAAGTTTTTCATGACCTTCCCTTGGTTTTCTCCTACCTTGAGATCAAAGTAACCCTTTTGAGTGCATGTTTTTATCTCATTTCTAACATAAATCACCTTATATTATAAGCATTTGTTGTCTAATATGTATACTCTAGTCCAGGAGTCCAAAGACAACTAGAGTAAAGCCAGTGGCGTGAATGCACACCCTTACGTCATGAGAGTTACCGATGAGATAAGTGCATTACCTCAACAAAGGCAGAGGGCGCAGCTCTGCTTAGCTCTAGCTAATTGTTACATCAAGAATATATGCATCCAGCATGGCCACATCTTCTGTGTTTGTTTTTAAGAAAGCCAGAAATCTGGGTTTTTAGTGAAACTTGCTAATTTTTAAAATATGTATTTGTATTGATTTTAGAGAGAAAGGAAGGGAGAGGGAGAGAAAGAAACATCGATGAAAGAACTATCAACATCAATAGGCCACTTCCTGCATGTCCCCCGCTAGGGATCAAGCCCACAACCAGAGCATGTGCCCTGACTGGGAATTAAACCACAACCTCCTGGTTCATGGATCAGTGTTCAATCACTGAGCCACACCAGCTAGGCTCTAGTTTTTAACTATTGGTTACAATTCATAAAAATAAAAATAAATTAATTAAAATTAAACATGCTTTTAAAAGTGTAGCCTACTTGTTTGCAACTATCTAGCATCACTAATCTGTGCAGCATCTGTGCGGCTCCTAGTCTGGCTCTTTTTGTCTCTGTATTCCTAAGTACCTTATGCAATCCTAAGTACATGTGGAGGCTTACTGATTGTTTGGTCATAAATAAATTCTAATCTGCTGACTCAAGACATAATGTTAGGGCCCTGGTAGGTCTAGCTCAATTGGTCCCATGCACCAAAAGGTGGCCTGTTTGGTTCCCAGTCAACGCACATGCCTAGGTTGCAGATTCAGTTCCCAATTAGGGTACATGTGAGAGGCAGCCAATAGATGTTTCTCTCTCCCCCCTCTCTCTAAAATCAATAAAAAGCATATATATATATATATATATATATATATATATATATATGCAAAAGAAAACATAATGTTGGAGACACATCTAACCAGATGAGGTTACTGTTCTTTTTCTTATTTGTTTTTCAAGGAATGGGATCCAGTTGAATGTTAGTGAAGAACATAAGAGTACCATCTCTGAAGGAGAAAAATCTTTACATTGTGAACTCATTCTTGCTCAGTCTGCAGAGGTAGGCACTACCATCAATGGAAAGCTTTAAAAAACCATCACCACATGTGATAACTTGCTATGAAGTGAAGGTCCAGAGCTTGAGGAAAAGCACCTGTGACGTTTTGAGGGGAACCTGCTGATTGTTTTTTGGAATCCAAGTCTAACGTCTCAACCTGGAGCGGACCTGTTTCAAGTTATGGCTGAAAACTGGCAAGCAGTTTTGGAACTGTGCATTCAGTGAATCTGGATTTCAGAAATCTTTATTTTCTTGTATTTTTCAGGACAAACTCAATACATGTTCCCCAGCCTGGGATCTTAAAGGTAGCAGTAGAGATCCATGAGCTCCTTTTCAGTGTCTGCCTTGTCCCTCACAGCATGTCTACCATACATAGAGTTCTCAGCAACAGCATGCAGTTTCTTTGCTTTAGGATGTAATTGAACCAAGCCAATTTATTGACAGTGGTGATTACATTCTGAACAGAAATTAGCATTTTATATTTTTGGCTAATTTTTAAGTATATGCTTTATTGTTAATAGTATTACAGATATCTCCCATTTCCCCCTACCCTGTTACCCCTTTCCTCCTGGCTAATTTTTGTTTTGTTTTGTTTTTTGTTAATCCTCCATTGAGTGTATTTTTCTATTGATTTTTAGGGAGAGTGGAAGAAAGAGAGGGAAAGACACAGAGAGAAAAATTAATGTGAGAGAGACACATTGATTGGTTGTCTCCTGCATGAACCCCGACCAGGGCCCAGGCTGGGGAAGAGCCTGCAACCAAGGTATATGCTCTTGACTGGAATCGAACCTGGGACCCTGTGGCCTGCAGGCTGACACTCTATCCACTGAGCCAATCCGGCTATGGACCAACTAATTTTTAAATAGCAAAATGAATTATTACTTAAAAAAACTTCTTTGTTAGGTAGGCTCAATTCTTTACACCATGGTAGGAAACAATCAAAAGCCTTTTGGAGAATTAAATATTGGGACACCTCCCACCCTTTGCTATATTTCCACTCTTTTACACTCTCCAGTTTTGTGCTTATTATGTTAGGAAATAATTTATTATCAAATTGCTTTCTTTTCACCACTTTAATGGTCTCTCCATGTCCGTAGACAATGGCTATGTCAGAATGCCCTCCTGTTGACAGCTGTGCTATGACCTTGAAAGGAGAGGAAGAATGCTTTGGGGAAAACACTGTTTGAATTTCTCCTGCCAAGGATGCAGGGGCAACATATGCTGCCTTCCTCTGATGCCGTCTCAGGCAGCCTTGGACATTCTGCCGAGGGCTGTGCTTTCCTGACATTGTTTCAAATACTCATCATCTTACTGCGGTTTTGAAACCAAGCCAAACTGCCAGACTGAGTGAAATGATGGCAAACCTGCCCCAGCAATGTGTTTCATCCTCGGCCCTCTGAGAGGATGACAGTGTCCGGAAGGCAGCTTGTGAAGTTCTATACTTCTCACCTGGGGTTAAACAGCTGGCAAAGTCCTGACTCACAAGTATACCCCACGGATGGGTGAAGAAGTTTCCTTTTAATTAGAACCTGGAAATAAGAGCCCTTTGACCTTTTCCCAACAAGAAGAAAGTTAAATGAACTATTGTCATCTATCAAGCACATGATAAGAGACAGAGACTTTGAGAGAAGTATAAGAAATAGTCTTTGTGGGACATTATCTGAGACTGTCTTCTGTACATTGAAGGGAAACAGAAGAAATCAACCTGTTTCTAGTAGGCTTTATTGAGCACCCCATCCCAACATTTTTTTTCTGTGAATTTCTTTGCATTCCCTTATTTTCATAAAATTAGAGCCATAGCAGTTTATATCATCACATGTAAATGTTATCCATGGGATAAATGGAACTTTCTTAAGAACAAATAAATGGCCAAAACCAGTTTGGCTCAGTGGGTAGAGTGTCAGCCTGCAGACTGAAAGGTCCCAGATTCGATTCTGGTCAAGGGCATGTACCTTGGTTGCGGGCACATCCCCAGTAAGGGGATGTGCAGGAGGCAGCCGTTCGATGTTTCTTTCTCATTGATGTTTCTAACTATCTCTCTCCCTTCCTCTCTATAAAAAATTGATAATATATATATATATATATATATATATATATATATATTTTTTTTTTTTTTTAAAAAAAGAACAAATAAATGATAAGTTAAAGTCATACCAAAGAGAAAATGTAAAAACTGTTTTTTGAGGGGACATAGGAGGATTCCATAAGGCTATTTATTTTTAAAATATATTTTATTGATTTTTTTACAGAGAGGAAGAGAGAGGGATAGAGAATTAGAAACATTGATGAGAGAATCATTGATCAGATGCCTCTTGCACACCCCCTACTGGGGATGTGCCCGTAACCAAGGTACATGTCATTGACCAGAATCAAACCTGGGACCTTTCAACTCACAGACTGATGCTCTATCCATTGAGCCAAACTGGTTTTGGCCCATAAGGCTATTTAGAATGGGGACAATTACATTGAGCCCTGGGTATGATTTTTATAAAATAAAAATATTCTTTATTAGAATGATAAGAGTCATGAACATTTTGGTAATTGTTCCAGAATACTGAAACTGAGCAGCAGTGCAGTTTAATCAGCTTGTCATCTCTGGACACAGTGATGGACCAAGACATGCTGCTGTCACTGAGAGAATCTGAGCAGAAGGGAGTGGCATTCACAGCTACTCTCCTGAAGCTGGTATTATATAGCATATGCCTATCATGGGGTTTCACTGACTAGGAACGTCTGCAGACAACTGACCTGCAACCTGTTGGCTGAGTACAAGCATATGTGTGTGTTGTTAAGCTCCCAAATCATCCTACTATGCAAGAGAAGATTTTTTTTCTCAAGCAACCCTGAAGTTGATCTTCTAGTTCTGAGTCAATCAGGACTAACTGACCATTGGATATGGATTGCTTGAGCATAGTTTTCCTACAGGTTAATCTTTAGTATCAAAGGGCTGAAGACATGGTATCTATTGAACAGTTTCCTTCTAGCTAATAGCTAATACCTCTTTCTTCATTTTGATATGTGACTGGAAACTCTAGATGGTCAGCGAAAGTAGAAAATCTTTGTGTTGCTATTTCCAGTCCTTTCCACAGTGCCTAGCATGTATGGTAGGTAGTATTTAGTTTGACAAATGAAAAAAAAATCCGCAAAAATGCTTGTTTCCTTCTATTAGGAAGATAAAAATGGGTAGGTTTTGCTGAAAAATGGTTCTATTTCTTCATGTTCAGCATGGATAGAGAACCTGATGAGAGATAGCATCTATTCATGGCAACTGCCTGGGGTAAAGGCAAGTCATTCAGTGGCCTTAGTTGAGAAGGAACTTTCTCTGGGTTACCCTGTAATAGAACTTTGGTCTATATTAGCTCTTATGTAATAGCATATGTCTTCCCCCTGAATTTCTAGTTGAAGATGTGAAACTCTTTTTCAGCATGAAGACATTTCTGAAGTGGAAACCCTCATTGACAGCCCTCTCCAGTGGGTAACTAGTCCAGAAATTACTGTGAAAGGAATGTGGGAGGACATGCGTACTGTAAGTGTTCTGTATTTTGTGATTTTCCTGATTTCCCTTCTACCTTTGAAACCCAAGTAATACTGTGTAGAGTACCATATCAGGCATTATTGGAGTCTTCTGCTGTCTCAGTCTGATGTTGTGTGTAGAGTGTATGTCTGGGTGGGGGGATGTATAAATGTACATATGTGGGTGAGGATGAGTGTGACGGTTAGGATAAAGTCTTTGAGGATGAGGAAAAAATGACAGTGAGTGAGTTTGAAGATATGTGTTATATGTTGGAGAAACAAAGACTAAATAAGATAACTTAATTAAAGTGTATTTTATTTGAATTCTTGTGAGAATTGGCTAGTCTAAGACACTTTACATTGGCTTATTAAAATTCTCTGACTTTGGTAGAATGGTTAGTGTGCAAAAGAATCTGATTTCTGATATTCTGACAGTTTTTATTAATCCCTAATATTTACAGAACATTGGAAACCATGAGCTTCTTAGATAGCCATTTCCAGTTCAGTTAGGAAAGAACCATTTAAATCTCCTTAATTTATCTATCACTTATTATCTCTGCTTCTTGATTGCCAGACAACTATTATCGTGCATTAGCCCCTAAATTAAGCTAAAGCAAGAAGGAAACTCTGGAATGTTAATTTCAACCCCTTTTCCTGATTTTAAAAAGTTGCTTTTGAAAATGCTAATCAAGAGATATTGATTTTAGTGCATTCCCTTGTCCCATGGTATTCTAAAGCAATTGAAATGATTGGTGAAATGATCAAGAACCCACATTTGTAAGAAAAACAAATGAAATTCAATTTAATGCACTTGATAAGTACCCAATATATACTTGTTAAATTAAGATAATCAACCTAGAGGATAATCAGTCTTTGTGCAATTAAAAATTAGTATGTGTTCAATTAGAATTTTAGGGTCCAATAACAGGAAATACTATTGAAAGGAGAATGGCCACAGCATTTCATATTGCCTCTATCATGTTTATATTTAATACTGAAATAGTGGAGTTTGTTTTGTGATTTTCCTTGTAGGAATACAAATATACCATGGAAGAGAAACTAAATATTTGCATATTAATGCTGAAGAGCTTGGGAAACCACAAAGAATCTCTTGATAAAGAGTTTGTCAAGTTGATGGAGATTTTGAAGAGATTTAGGCTGCAATATTTTTATTTCAGAAAAGAATATCTTTCCAGGTGACAATCATTTATGTATAAGAAACCCATTTTTTATGAACCTGACACCTTTGTAATTATGCCATAGCCTTCAGTTCATTTTTTTCCCTAAGTTCTATGTATTGATTTCAGATAATACATTTTCAGGGGAGACATTTTGTCTGACAATATCAAGTTATGAAATAGTGTAAAATTGACTAATATATTAAAAATTGCAAATAGTGGACTTTAAAATTTGTGGAAACGCAGTATAATGAGTTATTTTCTTTAGAGAAGAAATTTGGAATTACAGAATATAGAATTCTTTTAACCATAGGGGCCTTAGAGACCATTTAGTAAAATCTCATAATTTTACACAAGACCAAGGCATAAGGATATAAAGTGAATTGATCAAGATCTGAGAGTTAATGGAAAATCAACAGGTAGATCTATTAATGGAAGAACCTAATGCTGAGTCTATTGACTCCTATCCCATTGGGCTTCATGTTCCACCTTAGGATGCATCACATTGGGCACTTAGGAAATTAAATATCAGGTGAAGAGTCTGGGGAATAAAGGGCTCTAAATATAAAATAATTTATCAACTAACCCTTTCTCTGACCTTAATTCTTATGATTATGGAGAAATTCTTGAAATTTGTAGTTTGTAAAACACATGTACTAATAACAAGGGCAGTAACTATATCTTTTGTTGACCTCTGTTTTTATAGCTGCTGGTACCATACTAAATGTTCCCTTAAGAAGTGCTTTTCAAAGGAATGAATGAACATGGGTGTATACTGAATTTTAATAAAGTTAAAAAAAAAAAGTCATTAGAGGTCAAGGTTGCTTTAAAAAATACCCAGAAGAAAAACTATTTTCTTCCCTCTAAATAAGGAAACTAGATGCCAGAGATAATAATACCAGAAGGAACTATCAAGAAAATAATCTTCTGCTTTTCCTAAGAAGCAGTGAGCCGAGACTTCCCCTTAGTGGTAAAGCTTTGGGTTAAGGAGATATGCAGCTTCCTTACCCAGATACTGTCTCTATAAGAGGGAGCTTTGAAATTCTTCTGTTTAGCAACAAAGAACTATTTGAGAGGGGCCTCTGCTACTTGAGTTATCTCTAAATACGTGAATCTTCTGTATTATCTATTAGACACACAAGAAACCCAGTTAAATAATAGTAGGTGGAATTTGTTGAAAGCTTACTGTGTTGGATGTAGTGCTAAGAATTTGACCTGTATTTTATCTCCAGGTAGGATTAAGTGATAATTGGGATCAGATCTAGATATGTTCAGCTTCAAAACCCATATTCTTGCAACTATTAATCTTCTACTATCTACTTGCTAAAATTTGATATAATGTTCATTAAAAATATCTGGAAACCTAGCAGTGGGGAAAATACTATTTATAAATGTAAGAAAGATTTAGCCCCTGACTTCTAGACCTAATTTAAAATACACAAAATCATATAAACACATACTAAATGACTTGGCTATGTGTCTTCACTATGCATGGGAAAATGGGTGGAGAAATCTGTGAGAATAAGAAAATTTTCTTCAGATGAGGTTGGAAATATTTTTAAAGGTAACATTCATGGGCTATAAACTTAAGAAGAGAAAGCTTCCATTCTGACACAAGATAACTAGGCTCCAGAGCTGAGGTATGGAAAGAATTGAGGGTCAAGCCCGACTAATGTGGCTCAGTGTTTATGAGTGTCAACCTGTGAACTGGGAGGTCATGGTTCAATTCCCAGTCAGAGCACATGCCCAAGAGTCAAGGTGAGACAGGGGGGTGGGGGGGAAAGAGGGGTTTCAAAAGGTTTGGTTTGAAAAGCATGTACAACATCAAAGTGTCAGCTCTTTGCCTGACTTTGTTGCCCTGTCCCTCCCGCATAGGTACTAGGGAATTATAGGAAATGAGACAGAAATCTCTGCCTCCATGAAACATCTACTGAAGGACACAGATGATGAACAAATAAACATATAATTATATACTGCAATGCCAGGTTGATATGAAGTAAATTAAAGCAGGATATGAAGACCAAGAATGGCAGGGGCAGGAGAACCTAACTTTAGAAAAATGGCTAGGAAAGCCCTGCCTGCGGAGTGATCGATTGAGTGGATAGCTGAATGAAATGAGAGAGTGAGCTATGTAAAGATCTCAGCAGTGTTTGGGGCAGAGGAACTAACTGTGGTTGTACTAAGATTGTATATTTGAACATCGGTGAGAGGCCAGCATGACTGGGTGCAGTGAGTTCTGAGCAGTGGTAGGAGATGAGGCCAGAGAGATAGTCAGGAGTCAGGTCCACAGCCTTTCAGTTCATGTTTAGGAGTGGAGATTGTATTCTGAGTGGATGGGAAGGCATCATCTATAATAATAAAAGCATAATATGCAAATTGACCAAGTGGCTGAACAGCAGAACGACTATCTGGATGATCACACTGACATGCACTGTGATTGGTTGGAGGGGCCTGCCATTGCCCCAGGATTGCCCCACAGGGAGCCAGTAGGGCGATCAATTGAGGGGGGAGGAGGAGTGGCAGCAGATGAGGGCAGTGCCAGATCAAGGCAGATGTGGCAGGGGTCAGGGCCAACAGCTGGAGGAAATCCCTAGTGCCAGCAGCTGGAGGGAAGCCTGAGTCTTGGGTGTTGGCAGCCAGAGCGAAGCCAGTGCCGCCAGCTGGGGGAAGGGAGGCCTACCCTTGCACAAATTTTGTGATCACACCTCTAGTAGGGTTATAAACAGAGAAGTAATATAACTTGTGTTTTGAAAGATTATTCTGGCTGCTGGGTAGAAAATTGTCTATAGAAGGCAAGATTTAAAGCAGTGGACTAGTGAGAAGAGATTTTTCAATAATAGATTGCCAGTTAGAGATTCTGAAATCAACTTAGTGAATTATGACCCATATATACACTGTTTCCTTGAAAATAAGACAGTGTCTTATATTAATTTTTTCTCCCAAAGTTGCACTAAGTCTTATTTTCAGGGGATGTCTTATTTTTGGGGAAACACAGTATATGAAATAGAGTGTATTGCATATAATAAGAGTAAGTAATATTCCTTAACATTTTTGTTTCAGCTGTGTGTGTGTCTGTGTGTGTTTGTGTGTGTGTGTGTGTAAGTGCTTAAAATATAAACTATTTACTGGGTCATGGTAAAAAAGCAAAACAAAAACATTGACTTAAGAACTATTGTAATAGTTCAGGTGAGAGATGTGACATAAGTCAAGGTGATCACTGTAAATGTGGGAAAAAATGGTTGGATTCAAACTATATTTTGAGGATAGATCATATCTGACATGCTAGTGAATTATTGTGGGAATGCAAGAAAGAGAAGAGGTATTCTTCACTTAGAGGGTTGTGGTCTAAAACTAAAATCTATTTGGATGCCAAAATCTGTGAGAGACTCAGACTTGGCAGGAGTAGTAATCAAGATTTAGCATTAACATGTTAGCAAGGAGAGCTGCTGAATTTAAAAATACACACTCAAAGCTAATTATTTACTTCTTACTGTGATAATAAAAATCTCAATAAAAGAAAAGTCTTCCGTGGTTCAACAGCTATTAAATTTTTTAAAAATGGTTTTATTGAATTTTAGGGAGAGAGGAAGGAAGAAGGATAAAAACATCAATGATGAAGAGAATCATTGATTAGCTGCCTCCTGCACAATCTCTATTGGGGACCATGTATATGCCCTGACTGGGAATAGAACCTGTGACTTATTGGTTCATGGGTCAAAGCTCAACCACTGAGCCATAATGACCGGCTATTAAATATTTTTAATAGATGTCTCTATCTTATTTTTAAAAGCTATTTCTAAGATTGTTATGATTTATAAAGTAAATAAATTGTATTATCTTAAATATGCAAATACATACAAACCATTAAAATTTTAATATTATTGCCAAAACCGGTTTGGCTCAGTGGTAGAGTGTTGGTCTGTGGACTGAAAGGTCCCAGGTTCGATTCCGGACAAGGGTATGTACATTGGTTGTGGGCACATCCCCAGTAGGGGTGGTCGATGTTTCTCTCTCATCGACTTTTCTAGCTCTCTCTCCCTTCCTCTCTGTAAAAAATCAATAAAATATATTTTAAAAAAATTAATATTATTAAGTATGGATTTCTATTGGTCCTTACAGTCATTTGCTTTCATTGAGAAGAAAATGGACTCGTGAGAGCTTAGATTATTTCTCAAGAAACTAGAAAAATAAGAAAAAACAAAGTTTAAATTTAGCACAAGGAAGGAAATAATAAAAATTAGAGCAGAAGTAAACAAAAAAGAAAAACAATCTTAAAAAATCAGTGAAATTGAATTTGTTTTTTGAAAAAAAAAGATAAACAAAATTAACAAATCTTTGGCTAGACTTTGTAAAAGAGAATACTCAAGTAAAATATGAAATGGAAGAGGAAACATTACAAATGATGCCACAGTAGGGGAAACGATCATAAAAGACTACTATGAACAATTATACGCCATCAAATTGAATCACTCTGAAGAAATAAATAAGTTCCTAGAAACATACAACTTAACCAACACTGAATCAAGAAGAAACAGAATATCTGAACAGGCCAATAATTAGTAAAGAGGCTGAAACAATATTCAGAAACCTCCCAACAAAGAAAAGTCCAGGACCAGATGTCTTCACTAGTGAATCTGCCAAACATTTAAATATTAATGCAAAGCTTTGAAGCTCTTTCAAAAAATTGAAGAGGAAGGACAACTTACCGATTTATTTTATGAGGAGAGCATTATCCTGACACACGCTAACACTACACACACACACACACACACACACACACACACACACACACCCCACTACAGGCCAATATCCCTGATGAATATACATGTAAAAATCCTCAACAAAATAATGGCAAACTAATTTCAACAGTACATTAAAAAGACTGTTATATACCATGATCAAGTGAGATTTATCCTTTGATGCAATAATGACAACATACAAAAATAATTAATGTGCAGCACATTAACAAATTATGCTGTATTAGTGTTTTTTTGTGTTGTGTGAAGAATATCACAATAACACCTAAATTGATACAAAAAAAACCCCACATTTCATAAGATTCAACACTGTTTCATAATAAAACTATGTATTCAAAAAACTAGAAATAGAAGGAAACTACCTCAAGCTCATAAAGGCCATTTATGAAAAGCTAACATCATACTCAATGGTGAAAGACTAAAAGCTTCAGAAATAAGGCAGGCATGCCCATTCTTACCTCTCCGATGCAACATGGTACTGAAGCCCTACTTAGAGCAATTAGAAAAGACAAGGCATCCACATTGGAAAAGTAAAGTCATCTCTGTTTGCAGATAACATGGTTTTACATATAGAAAACCCAAAAGACCCCACAATAAACTTGTTAAAACTAATAAACAAATTCAACAATTTTATATCATACAAAATGAACACGCAAAAATCAGTTGCATTTCTATAAATTATTCAATAGGTGAAAAAAAACCTGAGAAAAAAAAGTCCCATTTAGTATAGCATCTAAACAAACAAAATACTTAGGACTAAACTTAACAAATGAGGTAAAGGCTTGTATACTGAAAACTACAAAACATTGATGAAAAAAAATCAAAGAAGACATAAATAAATGGAAATACATTCTATATTCATGGATCAGAAGACTTAATAGTGTGGCAAAATGTTCAGACTACCCAAAGCAACCAACATATTTAGTGTAATCCCTATCAAACCCTAATGGCGTTTTTACAGCAACAGAGAAAAACAATCCTATTGTTCATATGGAACCAAAAAGCACCGGAAATAGTCAAAACAATCTTGAGAAAAAACAAATCTGAAGGTATCACACTTTCTGGTTTCAAAATATAAAACTAAAATAATCAAAACTAAAATAATCAAAATGTAAAACTATAATAATCAATACTGGTCTAAAGACAGACGTAGAGACCAAGAGAAGAGGATGAAGCAACCCATGCTTAGATGGTCAGCTTATCTCTGACTAGTGTGCCAAGGATACACAATGGGAAACAAAAGTCTTTTCAACAAATGGTGTTGGAAAAACTGGATATCCACACATTAAAGAATGAAGTTGAACCCTTATTATATACCATCTACAAAAATCAACATGGAGTGAAGACTTAAACATAAAGCCTAAAACTGTAAAACTCCTAGAAGAAAATCTTGGAGTTTCATGATATTGGTCTTGGCAATGATTTCTTGGATAGGACAGCATAAAGCACAGGCAATAACAGAAAAAATAGACAAGTGGATCTATATCATACTAAAAAGCTTCTGCACAGCAAAGAAATTCACAGAGTGAAATGGTAACCTGTAGAATGAGAGGAAATATTCCAAACCATATATCTGATAAGGGGTGAATATTCAAAATACATGAGGAACTTCTACAGTTCAATAACAAACAAAAATACCAACTAACCCAGTTTGAAAATTGGCAGAGGACCTGAATAGACATTTCTTGAAAGAGGTCATATGCATGGCCAATAGACATATGAAAAGGTGCTCAACATCACTAATCATTTGAGAAATGCAAGTTAAAATCACAATGAGATATCACCTCATATCTGTCAGATTGGCAATCAGCAGTAAATCAACAAATAAGTGCTGGAGAGGATGTGGAGAAAAGGAAACCCTTGTGCACTGTTAGTGGGATTGTAAATTAGTGTGGCCACTATGGAAGATACTATGGAGCTTCCTCAAAAAATTAAAAGGGTTGCTGCCTTATGATCCAGCAATTCCATTTCTGAGTATTTATTAAAAACAACACAAAAAAACACTAATTAAAAAATAAATATTTACCCCTATGTTCATCGCAGCATTACTAGTATTAGCTAAATATGGAAGCAACATGGATGTCTATCAATAGGTGAATGGATAAGGAAGAGGTGATATATATATATATATATATATATATATATATATATATATATACATATATATATATTTCAATTATATATATATGAATTTTAATAGAAATAATATTTTATATATGAATATCCTTGCCATTATTGACAATGTGGATGGACCTAGAGGGTATTATGCTAAGTTAAATAAGTCAAATACAAATATATGATTTCACTTATAAATAGAATCCATAAAAACAAAACAAATTAATATAATACAAACAGAACCATAGATATGGAGGACAAGCTGATCATTGCTAAAATGAGGGTTGGGGGAATGGAATAAAAAATATGTAGTTGGGGGGAAAAATGAGCAAAGTACTTAAACAGACATTTCTCAAAAAACAAAAAAAAACACACACACACAATTGGCCAATAGGTATATGAAAAAATGCTCAAAATCTCTGATCATCAGAGAGATGCAAATAAAAACCATGAGTCATTTACAATGATGAATCAATCACACCTGTTAGGAAGACTATCATTTAAAAAAAACAACACCCAAAAGATTCCAAGTGTTGACAAGGATGTAGAGAAATGGAAACTTTGTATACTGTTCATGGGAATATAAAATGGTGCAACTGCTATCAAAAACAGTATAAAGGTTCCTCAAAATTTTTAAAATAGAACTACCATATGATCTAGCAATCACACTTCTGGGTATCCAAAAAAATTCAAAGCAGAATCTCAAAGAAATACTTGCACACTCATGTTCATTGCAGCATTATTCAGAATAAGATGTGAAAACAGCCTAAATGTTCATCAGTAGATGGATGAATAAAGTAATGCGGTATAGAAATAATATTCAGCCTTAAAAAGGAAGGCAATTTTGCCACATGCGACAACATGAATGAATCTTGAGGACATTATGCTAAGTGAAATAAATCAGTTACACAAGGACAAACTGCATGATTACACTTAAATGAGGTATTAAAAATTATCAAACCAATAGAAGCAGAGAGTAGAATAGTGGTCTCCAGAGGTCAGGGGAGAAAGAAATGGGGAGTTGCAATTCTTCAATGAGTATAGTTTTAGTTACATAGGATGAGAAAGTTGTAGAGATCTACTGTATAACGTGCATATAGTTAACTCTGTGTTATATATTTAAAACTGTGTTAGAAGGGTAAATCTCCTGTTAAACGTTCTCACCACTATTTAAGAAAAGAACACTCTGACTATAAGCTATTGGACAATCTTGGTAGAATATGTGTTCAGATGGTTTTAATTTTGTTTAGGTTTCCTTTGCTGGTTTACTGTGATGGTAAAACATTCTTACCCAGCCTTGTGTGGTCCTTTTTGTAATGGACAGGATTTAGGACAACGCTCAATAGGATTCTGGCTGTGTGTTAACATTTGAAGAGGCACACAAAAGGCCTAAACTTGACAATGCTTCCCTCTCTGCTTTGAAACTCCCAAAGTTTGTCATCCCTTTGAGCTAAAATCCTTATTCAGGTCAAGTTGTTTCCAGATACTCATTGATATGTTGATGCATAGCATACTTCAAATAATCTCCTCTGTTAAAAGAGAGCATTTTGATGAATTTTGAGAATTAAGGTCAGATCCCAAAGAGAGGTAACATAGCAACACTAAGAGGTGGGGTGAGGAAGAAAGGGAGGGGAAGGGCTTCAGAAAGAGAAGACTGCAGGGGAAATAGGAACTGTTGGCTTTTGACTATGCTTGGGAGTGCCCTTCCTGTCCTCATGGCACATATTTCTACCATGAAAAGTTTCCATTTCTTCTCTTTTTCCTCCCTCCCTCGCTCTTCTTTTTTTTTTCTTTCTGCAAAAGCTAGCTGTGCTGTGTCTGTATTGCACCTGCTCCTGTGACCTCCTTGTAGCTCCATCCTCTAAGATGCAAAGTACTATGAATGCAGCTTGTGGGGAACTGAATATTCTAATGTAAAATAGGAAACTACACACCCTGATCTGTCCAGCGAGGGCATCAGGCTAAGTGATCAATACGATTGCTTTAGTTCAATTCCATATTGGAGAAGCACTTGTATGAATGAAAACACTTTCACTTTTGCCTCTGATCTCTGAGGAAATGCATGAAGTCTGTATTTGTCGCAACTTCCCAGGGGTGACTCTTGGTTGAAATGTCACTGACAGCTTGTGGTTTGAACTTTTTTTTTTTTTTTTTTTTTTTTAACTCCAGGCAGAAACAACTAGAAGCCATCAAACAACTGCAAGAAGATGCTGTCAACCAGGAAGCCATCCTCAGGAAGAAGGTCCAGGAAGCCAGCCAACGGCTAGAGGATGCAGAGGAGCAGGTAGGGCGGCCTTTGACTATATTATACTTAGGGGAAGCCTCCTCAGCTGTCCTTAAAACCATGAGATAAAAATGGAGAAGGAACAACAACAGAGAGAAAAAAAAAAAAACACCAAAGAGGAACTGTGAAGTTCAGTCCCTGGAGACTAGCAGTGTGGGAGGAAGTAAAGGGGGCGTTGTACAAGAGGCGGTGTCAACAGTCTGCTGCCGAAGGAGGCAACTCTGCAGAAGGAGGCAACTTGACAGAGCAGGACTGTTAGGGCTGTGGATAGAGCTCGGGCACACGGAGCCCATGCAAACACAGAAATTGCAGAAGTTCAGTGGAGGCTTATCACTTCCCTGAGAACAAAAGCAACATTTGCAGTTTCCTGTGCATAAGAGCGTGCGCTCAATTGCTTTCTTTCCGGGACACAGTGTGAAAAATCCAGTGTTAACTGTATGCCTCCAGGTTGAGGACCGAGAGGGCACAGCCCACTCTGCCAGGGAAGAAGTGAAGTCTTCGCTGTATCCATTGGAGGAAGCAATTTCAGAACAACTGAGTCTCCAGACTATAAATAATACCAAGCTAGTGAGCACTTGCCAGGCCCTGGAGCAGAAGACAAGGAAACCGAAAAGTGAGTAGCAAATATTTGCGATGGGCCCGTTTCGCCCCCTCTGAGGTGGGGGGAAAGGACTGCAGCCATTTTTAGAGATGAGAGTTGCTGTATTAGTGAGGCATGTATGACAATGAAATGGTTCCAGAAGGCATCCTGTGGGCGTTCGGAGGCATTTGCCTGGTAGCGAGGTCGATTGCTTTCACCACTGGCTTTCCTTTCGGTTGCTAAATTTGTCTGGGACTGTTAATGCTTTAAAAATCAAATGAACCTTCTCAATATCTGTAAAAGTAAACAAGGGGATGGGGGGGAGATCTTGTTCGCCTGGGATATTTGAACCTGCATATTGTTTATGGATTCTGCCCTGGTTTTATGAGCTAGTTTGGACCCATCATGTGGTAGGAAAGACCCTTGCTCTGTTTTCTTTTAAGCGGTGATTTAAGGTTTGGACAAAGTACTTATGAATTTAATGTGTGTTAAAATATTCAATATGTGTGAACCTTCTTTTAGAATGTATTCTTTACATCTATATTTTTGCTTGACAAGTTAGAATATTTTTTCGTCTTTCTCTATTACCTAAAAGTGGGGGTAAGTGTTGACTAAGGATTTAGGTGAGAAGATAACTGTCAAATTACAGATGTCAGATTATTTATAAGTTTATGTTATTCTAAAAACGTGGGGGGGGGGAGAAGCCACCATAAACATATAAAGCTTATTTATTTGACCATGTGTTGGACAATTGCTTTTGTTCAGCCAGCTTCTTGTTCTAAGTATAAACGTTCTTTTTATAGGAAGCTATTGGTTTGGATAATAAACAACAAACTATAAGCGTAAGGCAAGCCTAAGATGGAACGCCTCAGATGTGTTTATTTTGGATTCCTTGTACCCTTTCTATTGTTATCTGAGATAAGAGTTTAAAGGAACTGGCTAGTTTTAAAGTAGCAGTGGTTATGCAACATTTTATTAGCATTTTTAAACCTGGAGAACTTGCTAGCTTTGAATAACTCTTAAGTACTGGATTACGTTATTTCACTCTGTCACACAACATAAGGCTTGCTTTGAATGACACAATCTGTATGTTATTTTAATATTGACCAGAGGGCTGCAGAGAAGGTCTCTTTAGGATTAGAAGTGTTCATGTTGAAGGCATGAACAATGATCAAATCTGATTTATGATGTGTTTGCTTTGGACACTATGCTAAAAGGACTAGTCTTTTGGTCCAGTTATATTTATCTTTTGATTAAATCGATACTATACACTCTCCCCCCCCCCCATATTTTATAAAACTAAGAATTTATCACTCCTCCCAAACCCCCATGATTTCTTCTTGGAAGTCAACTTTTGTAACTTATCTCAAACAATATATATTCCTGATATTATGAACTTGCTACTGTCTTTCTAGTTTATCCTCAGGAGATAATTGGTCCAAATATTATTAAAATACTTAAACTATTCAACCCAGCTGCCCTGGGTTGAATGCATGATTTTCTTTGGGATGGATAAAGTAGGATGGATGTCTCCTTTATGTTCCTAGATGCCCACAACCTGCTTGGCTTTAGGAATCTCTCTATTTAACTATACTTTTTGTTACATAAAGAAGGTAAACGTGTCAAGATTATACTCTTACAACCATTTGCTTTTGAAGGTCTTCCTAATAATTCGCTTAAAAATCAACCTTTGCAAGAAGAGGGAAACTTAGGTAGTAGATACTTTGACAAGTTCTATAGCGTAGACTTCCCAGACAGATTGGACAAATGTCATGGAGGTAAGATGGTGACCACACAAGCATCCTCGCACCTTCTCCCATGACTGCTACCACCACGTGCTGTTTGAGTTCTGAGTCAGCATTTGAATTCTGGGTCAGAAAATAAAAATATTGAAATCCATTGGTCCTTCTGAAACTTCCTGGTTAGCTTAATAAAGCCATTACATATTTAAAGCAACTCCTTGCTGTTCCATCTAAGAAGGGCTCACTAGCAAATGGTGTGGGGATGCTGTTGTTTTGTGCATCTGCTCAGGGCAGTGACAGTGGTCACAAACTGGAACTAGGAAACTGTTTATGCCATTTGACTATAGATTCTGAACTTAGTGCTTAATGAATAATATTGTTCAGCTTTTCAGTTTGCCACCAGGACTGGACTGATTTGCGACATAACCAGCGTAAGTGCTTGCCTCCATGAACTGTGCCATTAGAACTGCTAAACTTCTTGAATGGTTACTTATATGTTTTCTTCTGCTTTTTACCTTTGTGTGTACCTAAGTATCTGTTACAAGGCCAATACTGGATGAGTAGATTAATGTTTACTTTAAAAAGGGAATAAAAACATCTTAGATCCAGGGTGTGCGCTCAACATACTAGGGTGAATCTAACATGAAACATATACTGATTGATCTAATCTAAACCATAACCCCTTTACTATTCATCCCTTTTTTTTTTCTTTCCTATCTGATATGAAATGATCATTGAGTCATTCATTTAATAGACAATGAGAGAATTACCATTAGAAACCAAGAATATTTCCTTGAGGAGAGAGCCTGAGAAGGTTTTGTTTATTATAACTCTTTTTTTTGAACAGTGTCAATGTATGAACTATATAGTTTAGAGAAGGCTTTCATTCTAGATTATCTCACTGGAAACTCTTCTAGCTTGCTATTCTTAGCATGGAGATCATGAAATATGGGACAGACAACAGCCTTACAACTTTGCATGTGAATGAAAGTTGAGAGCCCCATGACCTCAGCAGGTAGTTCACAAGAGGGAAATGAGACAAGAAACGGGGCATTCAGGTGAAGGAGACACTTTAGGACAGTGGTCGGCAAACTCATTAGTCAACAGAGCCAAATATCAACAGTACAACAATTGAAGTTTCTTTTGAGAGCCAAATTTTTTAAACTTCTAACATTACTTCTTCAAAATAGTCTCTCAAATATCAGATCGTGGTATTTTGTGGAAGAGCCACACTCAAGGGGCCAAAGAGCCGCATGTGGCTCGAGAGCTGCAGTTTGCCATCCATAGTTTTAGGATAGGTGTTGAAATGTGAGCCAAGGAGAAAACCAAAGTCAGATATAACTCTCTCAACACTTTGAATGGGATGGAGTCCTAAATTTTCCCAAATGAAGGGTGCTGGTATGATGAAGTAACCTAGGGGGCAGCATAGCTTAATGATTAAGAGCATGGGATTTGACCTTAAACTCCTGCCAAAGAGAACCTGGAGAGAGTTGGGCAGATCACATTACCTCTCAGAGCCTCAGTGTCCTCTTCCAGAAAATGCAGCAGTTCTCATTTATAAGTCACATAACAAATGCGAAACAGTCACTAGTGCTTGGTCAGACTTGGTGCAGTCTGTTCTGCAGGGCATATTCCTGTCACGTTAATTGCCTCATTCATGATTGGCAGATGGGTGGTGGCATGTTCGTTTACTATGGAAGTTAGATTGTTGTACTCACCATTTCCCTGGGAATAAGATCTGGTTGGAAGGAATAGAACTATGACCTTCCTTGGCTGCTGGCAGGCAGCAGGAGCCCTTTCTGCTGTCTTTTAAGAAAATTCAAAACAAGTGTCTGCTCCTGAGCCTCGCTCCCCAGAGAAGCAATGCCTTGCGGGGCTCTGGCTTGTGGCTGACTGTATTCACTTTTGCGGCCGCCCTGCCTCAGAGTCCCATTGCCATCAGCACTTTTTAATAATTTCTTTATTGATTAAGGTATCATATATTTGTCCTCATCCCCCCATTCCTATCCCAAACCCCTCCCCACGCATGCTCCCACCCCTCTGTTGTCCATGACCACTGGTTAGGCTTATATGCATGCATACAAGTCCTTTGGTTGGTCTCTCCCCCTTACCTCCACCCTCCCCTACCTTCCCTCTGAGGTTTGACAGTCTGATAGATGCTTCTCTGTCTCTGGGTCTGTTTTTGTTCTTCAGTTTATATTGTTCACTATTCCCCTAGATGAGTGAGATCATGTGATACTAGAAATACACTTGTAAGAACTGAAAATGAGATAAGCAACAATGATTATGTTGCTGAAACCGATTTGGCTCAGTGGATAGAGCTTCAGCCTAAGGACTGAAAGGTCCCGGGTTCGATTTCGGTCAAGGGCATGTACCTTGGTTGCGGACACATCCCCAGTGAGGCATGTGCAAGAGGCAGCTGATCGATATTTCTCTCTCGTCGATGTTTCTAACTCTCTATCCCTCTCTCTTCCTCTCTGTAAAAAATCAATAAAATATATATTTTTAAAAATAATGATTATGCTGAGAAGCAAACGAATCAGTCTTTAGTGAGTTTCTTTCTGGGCCAACAGTTCTTTTGAGTCCCAATTTCAATGTCAAACAGTTCCTTATGTGTACATGTCAGCCATGACATTTCAGTCCTGGTTGGTGGACAAATGGTGGTAATGCAGGTCCAACCATCTCTGGTTTGGTCTTGGGCAACCGGCAGCTACGCACAGCTGCTGACTACTAGTATGGCAAGATGTTGTCAGTGTCCATCAGCATTTTATTAGCACCTGCCAGCACCGGCTCAACAGTATCTGGTATCCTGTGAAGCAGCCTTTGGCCATTTTCCCGTGCACGTCTCAGTGACCTAAGTTACTTCCTGGGTACTAATAACTCAGTGACTGTGTTTGTGAGTGCTCTGATTTCTCCCTCAAACTCATCAATCCTGCTATTTTTGTTCTTGTTCTAGTTTTAAAATTATTTTTATGGATGAATAATGCGCATACCATAAAAAGTTCAGATCTTAACTTTACTGTGCAACCAGTTTGACAAATGCACATGAAAACACAGGATTTCTATAACCTCAGAAAGCTCTCCTGTGCGCTTGCCAGTCAACCCTCCCTCCCTCTGCATCCCCACCTTCACCACCACAAGGAGCTCCCACTCACCTGATCTCTGTCACTGATGGGTTAGTTCAGCCTATTCTGGAATTGAGTTATACAGTAAGTATTTTGCATATGCCTGCCTACTCTCCCTCAGCATAATATTTATCCATGTTGTATTTATCAGTGATATGCCTTCTTCATGGCTTAGTTGTAAGTCTCTGTATGAACATTCTATAATTTGGTTGTTTTTTTTTGTTTGTTTTTTTCCTATTTGGACATCTAAATTATACAGTTTTTTGGTTGTTACAGAGAAAGATGCTATGAATATTCATGAATGGGTCTTTGTGTGGACATGTATTTTTAAAAATATTTTTTTATTAATTGTGGAGAGGAAGGGAGAGGGAGAGAGATAGAAACATCAGTGATGAGAGAGAATCATTGATCGGGCCCCCTCCTGGGAATAGAGCCCGCAATCTGGGTCTGTGCCCTTGACCAGAATCGAACCTGGGCCCCTTCAGTCTGCAGGCTGATGCTCTATCCACTGAGCCAAACAAGCTAGGGCTAGACATATGTTTTTCTTTAACCTAGGATAACACACTAGGTCATAGTGTAGTTGTTAACTCTTAACTTTTCAAAAACTGCCACGCAGTCATCAATAGCGTTTATAGCATTTCACACTCCCACCAGCAATGTGTGGGAGTTTGAGGTGCTCCACAGCTCCAGCATTTGGTGGTGTCAATCAAAAGACTGACATTTTCCTCACACTTCTGAGTGTCTCATTGTGATTTTCATTTATTAGGCTGGTTGGCTGTATCTTCTTTATGAAGTCTTTTGCCTATTTAAAAAAATATAGATTTTTATTGAATTAGAGAGAGAAGAAAGGAGAGGCATAGAAAGATAGAAACATTATCTCATTGATTGGCTGCCTCCTGCATGTCCCCTACTGGGGATCGAGGCCGCAACCTGGGCATGTGCCCTGACTGGGAATCAAATGGTTGACCTCTTTGGTGCAGACAAGGACACTAAACCACTGAGCAACACCAGCTGGGCATTGCCCATTTTCAAATTAGTACATTTGTCCTTTTGTTATTGTGCTGCAGTTGCAGGATTTTTTTACATAACGTATATAAGTCCTTTGACAGATATATGTCCTGTAAATCATTGTAATTTTCAATGAACCCTGATATTTTTAATGCACAATTTTATTGAACATGAGGTAACGTATATTGTAATAAAAGTCCTTAACTCCCTTAAAGTCAACCATAATTGATAGCTAAAATTATTTCAGCTCTCATATTATGGTTTTGATTTTAAACAGTCAATTAATTGCAGGCCTTTGCCTAAAAGCCTCATTGCACAGTCATTTAGAAAACCATTTTATCTCAGCTTCTTCCAAAGGCAATGTATCCAAGACACCTGGTCCCAGCCTACAGCACAGATGGCAACAGCAGGGGATGCAGTGCCCATTTTTTCTTGCTTTCATATGAAGCCTAAAATGTCCTAGAGACATGGCAGGTCCAGCTCCAGATACATGAAGGAGAACGCAAAGGTGAATGCAAATTAGGGTCATAAGCCAGCTTGTTTTGCCTTGTGAAACATATGGAAATAGTTGCTACACATTGCACAAAGCATCTGTTGAAATGAGGTTAACAATTTGAATGTTTGGAGATGGACTGTTTCTAAAACCCAAGATTGCCTCGCAGGAAAGCAGATGGGCAATTTAGACAGTCATATACTAACTTGTTATTTCTTCTGAAACACAAGCTTAATTTGGAAATTCAGACAGTGTTTTTGGAGATATACAACCTCCAGAAACATAATGTTCCCAGCCACTTCTGAAAGCTTTGGTTGCTGTTTAGATGTAGGTCAAGAGGAGGATGGCACCTTATTTCTTAATATAGTTGACACAGAGAATTTTAAAAAATTGAATATTTATTAGAGTTCTAAGTATTAAGAATTTTTTAAAAGTTTAAATGATTCAAATATGTTAGAAACTAATCTCCCGGTGCATGGATGCATGCACATTGAAAGGAAATTAATTAGAAGAAATATTTTAATACTGCTATTTGCCTTTCTCTATAATAGAAGTGTCAACCAAATTGACAATTGACAATGACAGATCAAAACACATGCGTGTGATTGGCACCAGTGAGAGCTTTATATGTATCATGCATGCACAAGTCAGCTTAGCCTTTTATATAGAGAGAATAAACTTACTTAATTAGATCTGCTTTCTGAATTAGCTAAACTTTTCCCAGCCCAGTGAAGCACCCCAACTTCTCTTTTAGGTAATGGTCAGCAATACAGCAATAAATATCAACATAAAGCAGATTATTATTGAAGATCATGCAGGTAGAAAAAAAGGGTAAAATATTTAACTGCTGCAGTGTTTGACTATATTCGGCACAGTGAGAAAACCTGAAGTCATTTTCAAGGTCCACCATTTCTTACTTCTTTTCAGTCAGCTTAAGTTTCTAAACTTTTTAAATCTCCCTTGTTTTGCTAATGAAAAGAAAATAGGATTCTACTGAGTCTCCTATCTACTTATTCCAGGACTTCTGTGAGAATCAAATGAGATAAGGCACAGGAAAATGCTTCACAGACATTTGGTTGAACTATAAAATGTTTGCACCTGGCTATAAAGCAAGTCATGTTCCTGGCCTGAAGAAACACCAGAAGGCTAATCACTAGGAAGAGGAAGCCTGCCTTTGCTATATGACATCATTACCCAGTGCCGGGCTGTGGGCCGCATTTTGTGCCATGGGATCTTGGCAGCATTTGCTGTGATTTGGTAGGGGGTGCTCCAGGGTGGTGACAGGGGCTGGGTCTCACTTGGGAAAAGCCGAGTGTTGGTTTGTTGGTGCCAGTTCCATGATGCCATTTATTTTTAAATGGCCAGTATGTGTCATGGCAGCTCCTGGATTGAGCATCTGCACCCTGGTGCTCATCATAGCTACTGGTCGGAAGGAAGGAAGGACACTTAGCTTTTAAATATAGTTTTAAAATATATACTTTCTTCTTAGTGGGGCTAGTAACACTATCTCAAGCTTAGTTGAGAAATTATTTTTAAAAAAATACTCATACAAAATAGAATTTTACATGGGTAAATTTATACATAATTAAAGACTTTTAAGCCTTTTCTTCTGAAAAAGTTTTAAAATTAGCTTATGTATTTATTTTTACATATATTAGCATTGTTTTCATGGCTCAGAATATTTTCAGGCTATTGCAATATCAAACATTTTTTACTTAATTTAAGATGTGTTTTGGACACCAGAGTAGCTGCTGCTAATTTTCTTAGCTGTTAGTGATTTAAAAATAATAATAATAATAATGGTAACTATTAATAGGCCTCCATCTAACAGAGCTTCCTACCCTCATTTAATTTTTGTTTTTAATCATCTGTGGGCTGAGAACACAGTCAGCTTGTGAGAATTATGTATAAATTCAGAGCTCACTTTCTGAGTGGAAGTGTGAGGCATTCCCACATGAAAAAAAGGCATGGATATCAACATCTATTTTGGTTGTTCAGAAACTTTGGGCCTATTTTCTGATCTCGGCTATATCTCCAAAGAGTATAGATTAACATACAAGAAATATGTAACTATGTAGTTCAAAAAGTTAAATAGTATTTTTTTTTCATTTCCATTATTCTAGAGATGAGAATTTGGAAGTTATTGAAAAGCAGATTTTAGTTAAGCAGACACATATTTTTAATTTCACAGAAAAGTGCAGTGAATTCAGCATTGATCTGTGAGTCTGATCTCAGTTCCATGAATAACCAGTTATCACTTAAATCCTCTGGGCGTCAGTGTTCCTATGATCTCAGACCTGCTTGTAGGACTCCGGCATTCTAGGCCTTATTTCTAGGGCTCCCATCCTTACAGCTCAAGCGCAGGCTTAGAGGAAAGGATTTCCATATTGGCAGGGAATGACCTCTAAGGTGTATTCCCATTTTAAGATTGAATAACCTAAGACTCACATCTAGAAGACAATTCACTTGTATCTATCAAGGTCAAGTTTAAATACCCGATGGTGGTAATGGTTTTGCTGCTCCCCTCCTGCTTTGTTCTCCTGTTGCTTTGTTTTCACAAGTTGCCAGTTGGGAAGGCCACTCTCAGAACTCCTAATTTTCTCTTGCCTTTCCTCCACCCCCTTCATCTCCCGCTGTTTAAGGCTGTTAAAGGTTTATGAAATAAATTAAGGGAAAATGAATTGAAATATTAAACTGGCTATGAATTCTCTTTACAGCAACAATCAAGTCACTAAGAAAGAACTTAATCCAAGGACAACTCCATGGCTTCTTGTTTCAGGTAAAAAAAAAAAAAAAAGAAAAAGAAAGAAAGAAAAGAAAACAAACCTCTATAATATGTGTTTAGTGTGGGAATGATGTACAAACTGTATAAGGTTCCAAAGCTAATTTATAATGGATAGTAATTTAAAAAAATATATATTTTATTGATTTTTTACAGAGAGGAAGGGAGAGAGAGAGCTAGAAACATCGATGAGAGAGAAACATCAACCAGCTGCCTCTTGTACACCCCCTACCGGGGATGTGCCCGCAACCAATGTACATGCCCTTGCCCGAAATCGAACCTGGGACCTTTCAGTCCGCAGACCGACGCTCTACCACTGAGCCAAACCGGCTTCGGCGGATAGTAATTTTAATCATAAAATTAAGTAACCAATTTAGAAGAAAATGGTGGACTTTGTTGTCTTATGCACTGAACATGGTTAGCTAAACAAGAGGGAAGAACTCGCATTAATGAATGGCTTATTGGAGGCAAGCTAATTGCATCTTTCAAAGAGTAGGCATTTCGAATTTATTGTCTGTTAGAAAAGGCCAGTTTTCAGTCTCAGACACCTCCTTTATGACACACTTGAATGGGCTTTGATGGTTACTGTCTCTTTTTTTTTCTCCTGTCTAGATATCTCAAGATATCTATGGGGGAGTTTAATGTATTTCTTTTCCTTATGACACTTGGTGAATTTCTTCTTTTCATTCCTAAATGAAAAACATAAGGAACTGGAGGAGGGAGGAGAGAAGGGTGATAGTCACATGTATCTGTTTCCAGACCATAAGGTAGGCACATCTGGTTAAGCAGGAAAAAAGATTTATTCATGTGGGAGATTAAGCTAGGCAGAGTTCCTAAAAAGCCCCTGCAATAAGTTAAACTGGAAAAACCTCCATATCTAAATATGCTTTAATCATTTTAAGAACACCAGTAAAGTTTTCTATTATAACGTAACTATGATAGATACGTAGCTACCTCTTGGACTAAGACCATGATTCTATTGCTATATAATTTTCATAGGCACCATTTTTACTATTTTGAGTTAGGTCTTCCAACAAGCTTTTTTGGCCTCTACCTAAAGATTTCAGTGACCAATCAGTTTTTCTGTTCCTGACCTTTGGCCTTTATTTCTTTAGTAATAGGGAAATTGGCAATGAGAGGTTAACAATTACAAACTTATTTCCTTAAAGTAAAACACACAATAAAAAACTGGTCATTTCCACCCTCCGCAGGGAGCATTCTCTCTCTTAAGTCTAATATGTTCTGTATCTTTGACTCTTTCACCATTCTGTCTTTGACAACACTCCACAATTTTCTCTTTACAGAGCTGTTTAGACGAGGAATTTCCTCAATATGATCCTTTGTCCTGCACAGACACAATTCACCAACGTCTTCAAGAACAACTGGTAAGTTTAAGCTTCTTGAAACAATGTAAGTGCCATTGTGAATCAACTCTATGCCAAAATAGAAAATTAAGTCCAGTATACATTAAAAGACCTAGAACTCTGTACCGCAGATGGAAACCTATTTATTTTCTTGACCATGTTCATGAACACAATCCCGGTAGACCCTAAGAAAGGTGATGCTTAAATATTTTTATTGTAGTATTGTGAAGAATTATATAACTAAGCTTGTCCTTCACCCATACCTCTTTCCTCGAAGCCTTTGTTTATATGAAAGTGTCAATTATGGGGAATTGATTATATTAACATTTTGTTAAAATTTATTTACCTGTGATTTTGAAAATTTTATTTCTATTGTTGAGGGTATTATAGATGTCCCCCATTTTCCCCTGCGTTGCCCCCTCTGCCGGCCTCCCGCACACCCCAGGCCTTCACTGCACTACTGTCTGTGTCCCTGGGCTACACATATAAATATTTTGGTTAATCTCTTCCCCCCATCCTTCCCTCTGAGATCTGTCAGTTTGTTGCATGCTTCCATGTCTCTGGACCTTTTTGTTCATATGAGTGAGATCATGTGATATTTGTCTCTCTCTGACTCACTTATTTCGCTTAGCATAATAATCTCTAGGTCCATCAAAGCTGTCTCAAAAAGACAAGGGAATTAATTATGTTATGGAACTGTGGTTTTTAATAACAATTATACTTTATGCATAGAGTATCCTCTTTGGTCAAAGTCATGAAAGCTTTGTTATTGGGCATCCTTTTGCTTCCTGATTTCTCTTGCAGGGTTATTTGAGACCAGTTATATTCTTTCTACCTTTGGAGATGAAGAGAGTAGATTATAAAGTGTTATGTTGCACCACTTTAGATAGCTAATATTACTTGACTTTCTTTTCAGAAGCAGTGTTGCCATAAACAATCTAGTGGTCAAGAAGCAAGAATACATAAGACTCCCCTGACCTTCAAACATACATGCTGGTACACACCCCTGCTAGGTAAGCCTGGGTAGCCCCTTTCCCAAACCTTATCAGACAGAGCTGGGTTAGGGTTATTTTAGAAAGGAAAGTAATCACATTTCTATTTGTAAAGGAAGAGTTGCTGAATATTTGGATACTTATCCCTGAATTTAGTCCATCAACTTACGTTTCAGAAGGGACCGTATTATGTATGATAGATAATAAGTCCTAATATAGCTCACAGATTATTGGTGAGATAAGACCTAGGCTCAGAGAAGTCTCCCTAAAAGAAAAGAGAGTTGAACCAGGCCTTGAAAGATGGGTTGCATTTAGAAAACTCGTGGGAAAACTATTTCAACTGGGGACAATGAATGAGGAAAAATGCAAGCCCAAAAATGCAAATTCCTAAGTGCTTGAAGAAGAGTCAAATTTGGACAAGTCATTTTGGACAAAGAGGAGTTGGATAGGGACACAGTAGAATCTAAGTGTGGAGCAGGTTGTGGGTTAAACTGAGGACTACTACACAATGCTAGGCTAAAGAAAAAAAAAGCTTTATCTTGGGAAATGCTCAAAGTAGTGACATCTCTGATCACAACCTGGTTGTGTTTAAAACAAAAGTTAATGGCTAGTTTGGAAATGGCAAAATAGGATGATTATCAAAATAAACTTAAGAAGGAATGAAAAGAAAGTGATTTGTAGGTCATCTCAGGTACAGGAAGGAAAACTACTGCCACTACCAATGGAATCGCCATTTGGTGTCAGACAATGATTAGTGCTAGAGGTGATTTTACTGACATTAACTCAGTGATAACAGCGGCACAACAACTTGGACAGCACAGTTTTCTGCTCTTCACATGTTTATTAACTGATTTCATTCTCACCACATCCCTTAGAGGTAGATGCTAATTTAATTCCCATTTTGAAGATAAGAAACATTGAGTTACTAATTAGCCTAAGCTCATGTGTCACTTTATATGTAAGTAAACTGAAGCTCAGAGTGGTTTACTTATATATCCAAGATCACACAACTGGTATGTGACAGTTAGTAGTTGAATTAAAAAATGTTAGTTGATTCCAAAGCCTATATATTTTTTCCTATTTCCTATAGTCATTAAGACAAACAAAAACAAAAACTGTTTGTTACTCTGACAGGTTCCAAACACAATGTCTTTTCTCTTTAGGGATAGTAAATTATTTCTGTAAAGGGCTACATAGTAAATATTTTAGGTTTCACATGCCATATGGTTTCTGCAGCAACTACTCAACACAGCAGCCATGGACAATACGGGTGTGACCGTGTTTCAGTAAAACTTTATTTACAAAAACAGACAGCTGGCTGGATTTTGCCCTCTGGCGGCAGGTCCTTGACCCCCCTAGTTGCTTAGTAGACAAGGGTTTTCTGAACCCACCCCACCTCTTTTTCCCTGCTTTAAAAAACAAACGATCACTTGGCATTTCTACCCTGTATAATGACACATCAAGGGAAGGGAGGGTTATGTTCAAGTGTTAATAGAATTGAATTGACTTCTGCTTTTTCAGAAATGGTTCCCATTTCAAGAGAGAGAAAGAAAACATACATATTAGTTTAAACCAAAAGTAAATTTGTTTTCTTTTCTGTTCTGCTACAGATGCCTTGCATCTGGATAGTCTTACACTGACCCTAAGACCATCACTGACACCTTTCTCATGTATAGCTAACCAAGTCCATGCTTCAGGTCAAAGGCCCAAATGTGGAAAAATAGAGGATGGTGCTTTGGATGTGACTAGAACCCACAAGTAAGTTAAAAGAGCAAAATATACCCAATGTACCTACCCTCCTCTTCCTGGGCCACCTGTTCCTGTTGCCTAACCTTTTAATCACTTAAGTTTTCATATCCTGAGATCGTAATATCTTTATTGTGGGACTTTTCTGGTATAAAATTCTCTAACTTTCTGAACATTGACAGTTTAAAAACAAAAATGGCTCTGTAGTTTTCTTGAAGGGCAGTTTTCTTGTTCTTTTGAATTTCATAATATCCACTTGGCAAGATAAGAGACAAAAAAATTAGGCTACCTAAAATGTTCCTCAGTGTTCAGAAATATGCTATGCACTGCTAAGTTCACCTAGCTAGGTGTTGATCACATATTTATTCCTTCGCACTCAGGGTTCTCCAGCCTTTGGGAACCCATCCCTGTTCTCTCACACACTCTCCTCTGAAGCTCGTCTGTACTCAGTTACCTTTCTCGGTGAACAGACTGACCTTTCCTAGGAAGAGCTCAGGAACAGCAGTAGAGTTTATGGGCACTATCCACCCCAATGACATGTCTCTCCTGAATTGAGGGTGAGGAAGCAAGACTTTGAATTGCAAATTCTTCATTTTCATCTTTGGCTAGATTCTCTGTAGGTTATAGCCTCTCTCTAATGACAGATGGAGCTCTCTTTCATTATACCTTATGAAATTCATGAATCCATAGAACTTAATTAGGAATTTGGTGAAACTGAGGTGGCGGGGAAGTGGCGTTAAGGGGATCTATGGTAGTTTGGTAACTGCTGAAATGTGCAATTTTCCCTTCTCTAGTAATAAATTTTTCTATTGCCAGGTTCCCAGGCCCTACAATTGGCCCCTACCCGGGAACAGATCTTTCTAATTGCATCAGGATGAATGAAGACCTAAGTATGGAAGTGAGTATTGGACTATATTTTAACTTCACTTTTAGGACTACTATACCCTGGTCCTTTTCTATGCTAATCTTTCCTTTATTTTTCTTTCTTTTTTTTTTGGGGGGGGGGTATTCTTTATTTTGTTTTGTGTTTTGTAAATACTAATGACTTAAGTTATGTATTTTCATCTGTGCAGGTAGATGGCTCCCCTAACCCCTGAGTTGTTCAAGGGTCAACTGTATTAAGGATACTCTTATAGCAAGTATGAGTCTTACACCACAAAGCTCAAATGCATAAGAAATGTCAATCTTTGAAGGCAGGAAGTTAAAATTCAGTTATTTGGTTTTTTTTTCTATGACTCTGTAGTAGAAACTCAAGAATATATAATCAAAAAATTTAACAAATCATGCTAAACTTTTTGTTTAAGAGGCAGGCTGGTTTAGGACTTAAATTTACTAATGACTAATAAGAAGTCTCAGGTTCCATCGACTGACTCTTTAAGAATTGAGCTCAAGGCTAGATCTTTGAAGTGCTGGTACTTTGTAAAAAATCATACAGTAGAGTAATAACCAGAGAATATCACATTTGCTGCAGTAATGTGCTAACGGTGCTTCTCCACCCAAGAAGAGAACACTAAAGGGTTGAGGTCACTTAGGTGAGCTCCCCAGGACATGAAAATGTATCTTGAGCTCCTTCTTTGGTCTACAGTGTAAGCTCCATGAGCTTTTCAATCAAATGGAGCAGACAGTTCTATTTCAGGGTCTGAAAATCCACATTCATTTATATACTAAACAATTCATCAATTTAAATTATTCAATTAAATACATTTCAATATATTCACAGAGTTGTGCAACCATCACTGTGATAAATTTAAATACATCTGTTCACCTCATAAAGAAACTTTATACCTATTAACAGTCTCCCCTTATTACTCCCTCTCCCCAAAACTCTAATCTTTAGACAACCACTTATCTACTTCTGTCTCTGTAGATTTGCCTATTCTGGAAATCCTATATAATAAAAGGGTAATATGCAAATCGAATGGTGGAATGACCACCAGATTGTTCAATGCAGAAGTTGCCTTCTGGTCGTCAGTGCACTCCCATAGGGGGAGCACTGCTCAGCCAGAAGCCAGGCTCACAGCTAACAAGCACAGCAGTGGCAGTAGGGGTGGGCCTAATCCATCAGTCAGACACATCCTCCAAGGGCTCCTAAACTGTGAGAGGGCACAGGCTGGGCTGAGGAACCCCCCCGACCCCTAGTGTATGAATTATATGCTCCAGGCCTCTAGTCTTATATAAATGAAAGCGTACAATGTGACCTGTTGTGCCTGGCTTCTTTCACTTGGCATAATGTTTCAAGGTTCATTTTTCTTATAAGTATTTTATTCTTTTTCTTTACTGAATGATATTTCACTGTATGAATATGCCACTTTTATTTGCCTATTAACCAGTTGGTGGGCATTTGGGTTGTTTCTACTTCTTGGCTATTGTGAATAATGCTACTGTGAACAATAGTGTACACGTTTTTGTGCAAACCTATGGTCTCAGTTCTTTTGGGGTATATATCTAGGAGTGGAATTGCTGCATCATATGGTAACTCTGTGTTTAAAATTTTGAGGAATTGCAAAACAGATTTTCAAAGGGGCTACATCGTTTTACATTCCCAACAGCAGTGTATGAGGATTCTCATTTTCTCCACAGCTTTCTCAACAGCTGTCTGTCTTTTCTGATTATACTAGCTTAGTGGGTGTAAAGTGGTACCTCATTGTGGTTTTGATATGCATTTCTCTAATGACAAATGCTGTTGATCATCTTTTATGTACTTGTTGACCATTTGCATGTCTTCTTTAGAAATGTCTCTACCTAAACCTTTTGCTCATTGTAAAAAAGGGGTTATTTTTCTTTTTACTACTAGGTTATACAAGTTGTTCTCATTCTTTTTAAGTGTATGTGTCTGACACTTTTGTGTTCCTTAGTACCCATATTCATTCATATACTAAACAATTCCCCAATTTAAATTATTCAATTAAATGCATTTCAATATATTCACAGAGTTGTGAGTAGCAAAAAAAAAAAAAAAAGGAAATGAATCTATTTTTCTATTAATAGTTGTTGTACAAGTTTTAATAAAGGAAGTTGAACTTGGAAGCATATAGGATATTTGGGAAGCTTACAGGATGTTTGTTTATTAGTAATTTCCTTTATATCTGGAACTGATTTTACCAAGAAGGAAGAAACAAACATTAGTTGTAGACTAGATACTTCATAGGAAAGCATTTCCACATGTTATGTTATTAATCCTCTCTGTAACTATGATCATAGGTATTCTCTACCTTTATAGATGGCACAGTGATGTTAGAGAGGTTAAATAAGTTGCCCACGATTACTCAACTACCCTGTTTCCCCAAAAATAAGACAGTGTCTTATATTAATTTTTTCTCCCAAAGTTGCGCTAGGTCTTATTTTCAGAGGATGTCTTATCTTTCCATGCGCTAGGTCTTATTTTCGGAGGATGTCTTATTTTCAAGGAAACACGGTAGTAAGCAGAAAACATGGGATTCAAATTCAAGTTTGTCTTGCTTCACAGGATAAGCTTTTTCTGATTGCTCCTCTTAGAACACTGAATTTGGGCGTTTCAATCATACTAATTATCCGTAGTTACCTTGGAAGTATTTTTTTGGCTAAGAAACATTCTGGCATCTAAAAGGACCTCCCAATCTACTCCCATTAGAATTTGTGACTCAGTTGTTTTTTTCTATGGTATTGATATCTATTTAAAAATAGAAAGTAACAGATATTATAATAGAAACTCGTTTCAAACACTCTGCGGGGGCGGTAGGGAGTGGGGGTGTATAGTTTCCCTGAAGGTTTTCCTGTTATCTTCTGTGCCATTTCTTCTCCAGTCCCAGGTATGAGGCTGTCGGCTGCAGGTTGTGGCTGTTAACCACCAATTCTCATCATTCCGTTTCCAGATTTCTGATCCACGGAAGAATCTGCACAGCCTGTTTGCTGCACAATTCACTTCCTCATGCCTGTCCCTTGAGTAAATCCCTGCCTCTCACCCCTTGGTGCCTCCACGCCCATTTCTTAAACAAATGGAAAGCTCTCCTTAGAAAATGCTTTCCTAAGCATTAATAGTAAGCACAAGGTATTAGAATGAAATATATAAAAATTATAATCTGTGTTGATCCCAGTGACCCTTACACATAAATCATGGTGTTTTCTTCACTCTTTGCCTTCAAACTAAAGAATTTTTGTTATTCTTGAGAGCCTTCAACTTGACCTGGCACTTGAGCCCCTGTCTTATCTGATCACAACCTAACTTTTTGTCCTTTCCTCATCACTGCCTATATTTGTCCCTACATGCCAGGCAAACCAGACAGTGTGTCTTGTCAGAATATATCACCTGTTTATGCTGTTTATCGGAAACATTCACACGGTTCCATTTCTCACGTTATATTCAACTGTCAGGCCTGTTTCAGCAACCAACAATGCCTCAAAACCTGTCTCGTGGGAGCAAGGAATGTTCACAGTAAGCACCTCTGGTCTTCCTTGAGGTGGACATCATAATGCATTAGAAATCAGACGACCAGGTTTTTCCTGGCCCTTTTTCTGTGTAACTACGAAAAGTTATGTCTTTCAGGCTTTGATTCATTTCTCCACTATCCCACTCAGGAAAATATAAGTAATTTTAGACCCCATTAACTCTTTGTTCTCCCCTATTGTCACCTATATTCTGGTTCCATCATAATTCTTCATTTTTTTCTATTTATTTTTGTAGTAGATTACCAGGTTGGTGAAGAGTGCCTTTGTTTTGCCACTGACCAATGTGCATCTAGCTTCCTACATGAATTTGGTGAACAGTGGCTTTCCCATTGATAATTATTGAATGCCCATTTATTTACTAGTTTTTGTGCTTCCTTCAGGGTCTATTTAAGATATTGAGAGTGAACACTATTGCTTTCTGACTTACTTTTTTAGACTGGTATTCCTGAGAACTTGAGGTTTATTTTATTTTATTTATTTTTGTTAATCCTCTCCCAAGAATATTTTCCCATTGATTTTTAGAGAGAGTGGAAGGGAAGGGGAAAGATAGAAACATTGATGTGAGAAAGACACATTGATTGGTTGCCTCCTGCGTGTACCCTGACTGGGCTAGGAATTGAGCCTGCAACTGAGGTATGTGTATTTGATTGGATTCTAACCTGAGACCCTTCAGTCCATGGGCCAACACTCTATCCACTGAGTAATACTGGCTAGAGCTTGAGGTTTATTTTTTGTTCTTCCCCATATTGATAGAGGAAGCTATATTTTAGCCTCTTATTTGGAAAGCTCAGTATAAGATAAAAGTGAACATCATCTCTCTCACATTGATATCTCTCTCTCCTTCTCCCTTCCTCTAGAATCAATTAAAAACAAACACAACTTTCCATTGCCCAGCCAGTGTGGCTCAGAGGTTGAGTTGTCAACTCAGGAATCAAGAGATTACTGGTTCGATTCCTGGTCCAAGACACCTGCACAAGTTGCAGGCTTGATTCCCAGTATGGGTGAAACATTGGTGATGTTTCTCTCTCACTGATGTTCATATCTCTCTATTCTTCTCCCTTCCTCTCTCTCTAAAAATCAATAAAAACATACTTTTAAAAAAAAGGTGAGCATCAGTATCCATAGGAGGATCTTTGGTTAGAAAAGGACTCTCATCAGATTAATATCTTAAAAAGAACATCTCATAATTTGGGGCCCAATTTGGGACATTCTTGGGGAGAGTAAAGGTACTTTATTGACCCAGGGAAATTTATTTATTTGGGATATTTTAGTGGAAAGAGGAAAGAAGGTAGTCAATTATTTCCAGTCCTTCTCTTTTAGAGATTCAAACTGAAATATTTATGGAAGTCATGTCTGTGATATCCTAGATTAGCTTCAAAACAACGTGGGGATGGGTTTAGTGGGTCACAATATGGGTGAAACAAGATTGGGCATAGGTCAAATATTGTTAAATCTAAGTAATTGAACATAAAG